GATGGTTGATGATGATGTATACATCTTTGATTATAAATTGTGAATTATACATAGTGATAATTGTATATGAGCATGTTGAGTGTTGTATGATGTAATGTAGTTTTATATGATAATATAAAAATTGATGTAAGAGGCATGATTGAAATATGATGATTCTGATGTTTGTTGAGTAAAAAAGTTGTTGATGAGCTTGTGAGATAATTGTGAATTATATATGTGAGTTTTTGAAATGAATTTTTTCATGAGCATTATCATATGGTGGGAGTTTTGCCTTAGTGAAGAGTTAGCGATTATGCAAAATCCATATGGTACTTGGCTATTAACTAATAATCCTAGGGGTTATAGTCGCTACTTACCTCGTTAGGTACTGTAGCATTGTTCCTATTAAGGAACTTGACCCTACTAGCCTACCTGGAGTTTTGAGTAGAGCTAGTTTTGGGTATGACACCCCATAGTGTGTAATTTGGGGGAAACCGTGTTCATAAGTGAGTAAGGTAACCCTGGCCCGGTAGCCCTTCATAATATGATTTAAGGCCTGGGGTAATCTCACCACATGGACGATCCCTTTCGGTTGTTGGCCCACGGATTTCATGTCAGAGGAAATAAGGGGGGATATAAGGAAGAGATTGATCATGCATATTATTACTATCATGCCATTTGAGTGATTGATGGCTATGTTAAGAATATGATTATAATTGTAGAAATAAGAACATGTAGTAATTATGCGAATAATGTATATGTGGCTATTTGTGCAAATTTTGTACTTGACTTTATTCTTAAAATTATTCACATGAGTTAAATGTTAATGTGATTAATATGTTATTAATGTGATTGTTTGAATGGTCACCTCGATAAATTTATTGGCCACTTGCATTCATGATTATTATCATGCATTTGTATAACTTAGATGTACTTTTATTACTGAGTGATTGTACTCACCCCTCTCTTTTAACATATTACATGAGCTAGCTCATCTCAGAAGATAGAGAAAAGGAGCATTAGGCCAAGTGATAGTAATCACTTCTGTAGGCCTTTCTCTTTTTATTTTGATATGTGTATTTAGTTTATGATATTATCAACTAGGATAATATATTTTTGATCCACTTGCATTATGGGTTTTGTGTTGGGGGAAATGTATTTTGGGTCCTGGGGAATGTAATTTGATGCTTATGCTATATTAACGGGCCAAAATATTTGTGCAAGTGAAAATAGTTAATATTGCCTAATTTGAGAACTTGAATGTTGTTATGGTTTCCCCTTGTGTTTTTTGTGTCCAGGGTGAGCAGTTGATATTAATTATATGTGAATGAAAAGGAAAATTCATGTATATGATAGGCTATTGATGAATAGATAATATATAGAGTATAATGATTAGGTAACAGTCATTGTGATAAATGTAATTGAGACCTAAGCCCCCGTTGCCAGTTATGGAAGGGTTTGAGTGGTCAAGTGTTATGTCATAAATATATATATATATATGTGTGTGTGTGTGTGTGTGTGTGTATATGTATTATAGAGTAAGGCATAGAGAGAAAATAAAGGGGGAAACTCTTCTCTCATGATGATGTGCTTCCTTTATCATGCTTATGCATATGTCTAATTGAATGATATGAGTTCTTGAAATATTTTAAAGACTTGGGATCCCTTTATATTAAATCATTTGTGAAAATATATGTTAAGAATTTGTTTAGGTTAATCTCTTATAGGATAATCTTTTTGGGTTAGTCCTTGATTTATTATAGTTAGATTGATGAATAAGTCCTAATTTAGGACACCCCTTTGCACAAGAAGCTTAATGAAATAGGAAAGTAATATAAAATGAGAATAAATTAGTCGGTATAATTTGTGCTTTTTTTTAAATTTTATTAATCTAATCACAAGATTTTTAAATTAATTATTTTAAAATGTTCACATTTGATTATTTAAGGTTCCTTAAATTAAAGGAGGGAGAGTATAGACGAATACATTATAAGGAAAAAAATAATACTTAGGTTTTTTAATATAATTAAAATTAAAAAAATTAAAGTATTTTAAAATATTTTTTTGAATATTCCTATTAGAGCTAAACATTAAACTAAAGTATAGATCTAAAAATAAAAGGAAGGTCCATGTAAATTTACCAAAATGGAAGGAAGATGATCAGATGATTGTATTTTACTCTAATTAAAATAAATGATATTGGCAACTATATATATTTCACTCTAGCTATGTATTATACTAATTAAATAAGGAAGATTACTCTAATTAGATGTTGAAATAAAATGAAGAAGATTGGAAGAGAAAGTAATGAATAATTAAACAATAAAAAATTTAAAATAAAAAATTATAAGCAGTTAGCTCGTGGGTTGACGGGGTTGGGTTAAATAGTGTTAGCCAAAACTAGCCAACATTTAACTAAGCTCTAGATTATACAACCTAACTTGTCACTCTTTGATAGGGTTGGACCCACTGGCTCGACTCATATTACCAGCTCTAATTGAAATTGACAGAATACTATAATCTAACAGGAAAAATCTTAAAGATTAAGCTTATACTTTTACCTAACATGTCAAGTTTGAAAGCAAGTGAAAATGAATTAATAATAAATGAACTCAATTATGATAAGATTGCATTATATATGATGAAATGATCTAACTTCTAAAAAAAACAAGAAGAAGAAGGTTTGTGATAAAATTATTAATGCATTGAATTTGATAAAGGAAATTTTTTTCCTTATATGGATATAGTGGTACTAGAAAGATGTATATTTGGTAGACACTTTATGCTACATTCAGATCTAGAGATAAAATAGTTTTCAATATAACATCATGCGGGATGGCTTCTCTAATACACCGAAGAAGATATACAACTCACTCAAATGTCATATTCTTTTTTCTATGACTGAAGACACTATATGTAGCATAAAACAGGGGAGTAATTTGGCTAAATTATTAGTTCACAAGTTATTAATTAGATGAGATGAGGCTCTAATGACACACAAATTTTGTCTTGAAACTTTTGACAAATACTTAAAGGATATTCTAAAGTTAAGTAGCCATTAGCTAGTGATCATCCTTTTGAAGAAAAAGTTGCTGTGTTTAATGAAGACTTCAAGCATATCTGGCATTTGTGTTATTCTAAGTGGGTTAAGAGAAGACATTATTTTTGCAACCATTACCTCTTTGTTCTCGGACAATTGTCAACTTATCATACTAATAATAAAGATGAGACTACTAGCTAGCAACAAATAATGGAGCATTTATTAGTGTTCTTATGAATTTTGCTGTTTGGGTTATCTCAATTGGTAATAAAAATGTTGTTAAAGCTAATGAAGGATTTATGGATATTGAGATCCCAACTAATTTATTATTGAATGGTTCAGATAATTCAATAGAGTCCATTATTGATTTAACTTTCCTGAATTTCCTTACTAACATCTATAATTCTTTATATTTTAAAGATAAGGCTATATTAGTTCTTACGTTGGCTATTGTTGAAAAGGTAAACAACTACATGTTGGTCTTATTCAAAAAGAGAGTTGTATACTTGGGCTTTAATAGTGTTGTTAAAAATAATGAGGATATGAGTTTAATCACGGACTTGTACTATACATATTTTTAAATTAAATTATAATGTTAAACATCTTGAATTATGAAATAAAACTTAAAGTGGGTGGCTCAATTATTTTAATTCGAATTGAAACATTGATTAGTTTATAGAGTTATATAATGGTACATGTTTTATAGTTGTATGAGCTAGAAAACATATTATTGAAGCTTGAGAAATGTTTGGATCAGTTATAAGGATGAAAGTATGTATACATGTATTGTTATATGTCCATCTAAAGGTTGTCAACTTGTCATTGCTATGAAAAGGAAGAAGTTTCTCATTGTGTTGGACTTTACAATTTCCATTAATAAGAGCTAAGACTAAATCTCGTGTCATATTAGTTTGTACATACCTCATTATGTTTTTACCAATAATCAATTATATATTATTGTTTTCTGTATTCAAAGCATGAATAGTCTAAAAATATTAGTTCTCAATATGGATAGTTGTTCCAAAAATATAACTTGCAATATTATTTATAGAAATATTTTCAATAATTTAATTTAAATATTATAAATTTTGTTAAGCTACTTTCCATCATATCCATTTATAGAGTATGAATTTAGTTTTTTTTATTTGCTTTACTTTGATATATATATATATATATATATATATATATATATATATTTAAGATTAATGATTATAATTACACAATTCTATTATATATAGAATGATACATATAGATAAAATATATATTATAAATTATTCTTTTTGACCTATCCATAAAAATTATAACATAAAACTGTGCAAAGCACCGGTACTTTCCTAGTTCTCTCTGGAAATACAAAGAAACAGTGAGTATTTATATGATGCTTTGTGCCAGATTCATTGTGCGGAAGGCGTAGGCAGAAATATGGAAAGAGATGAATTGCATTAAAAATGTTGCGCTCGTTGAATTAGCATCCAAGAGGGAGAATCCGTACCCGGCAATGGCAAGAGGGCGACCCAGCGCTTGCTCTGTGAACAGAAGGCCGGTGGTTATGACAAATTTAACAACTCATCGGATAAGTCACAAGGCTTGGTTCTTATCCTCATTACGCCCGGAGGGAAGTACCACGAATTACCTAGGGCGCCGCGTTCGTAAACAACGGGTAAAATCAGAAGGAACTTGGAAATGGGTTTTGTTTAATTTCCTTAAGAATCTAAACTTTCCAAAAAAAAAAAAAAGCGAAATTTATCTTTAATTAAATAAATTATTTTAGTGCTACGCGTCTTACATCTTAAAGTTGGTCAACCATGAACAGTAATTGAATAGTGCCTTGCCAGAAATGCCCTCCAATTTTGTCTCTTCAAGTGTTCCTGTAAAGGCTTGCACAGTAAAATACTAGAAATGCCCTTTAGTCGTCAATATCTTCTAATTTCTTCCTTCCTGCATCTTTGCCGTGTTCTTCCTTGTCAATGTTTCGTCTCGTGGGCACCACAACAGGTCTCATCTTCCGTCCCCAGCAAGCGTCCCACACGTTCAGTTAACTCTCACCCTCTCCCCTCCATTTTTGGTTTCTTCTCTCCCTCCCTCCCTCCCTCCCGTCTCTCAATCTTCTTCCTTCTTCTCCAAGACTTCATGTTCTCAGACTATGTGGGTGCGGGTGCTATCTGGTTAGGGTCCTTCGTCTTGGCGCTCACGTTTGGCGAGCCTGATGGGGCTTCCCATTTCCTTTCCTGCCTTGCCTTCTTTCTTGAGCGGTCCCATATGCGTGTGGTTAAGAAGCAAAAGTTGTTTGAACCACATCTTCAGAGCCATTTCTTAATCCTTCGTTCCCGCCCCGCCTCCTCCACCACCTCTCTCTCGAAGTTCGGATTCTTCGTTCTCCGTGGCCACTCTAATTTTTTTATTTATTCTTTTCTCCAAAGTTCTCACTTTGAAGGATTTAGTTTCAAATTGGAAGGGTGACCGTGAAAGCATTGATTGACCACAGCCTCCAGCATAGGATTCTCCATGCTCGACGTCGACTCGCAGTTTGGATCCGAATACTGGAATGTCCCCTTTCGTTCTGCACTCGATAGCTTGTAAACAGAGAAAGCTATTAAGATGAAAGAGAGTAAGGAAGCGGAAACTGAAAAAGGGATCATGCTTTTGTAGATGATGATAATGAGGAGTGATTGACGGTTTATCACAGGATATCCAATTTTCAGCTATGAATGGCTATGAATCAGAAAACACGCGACCTCTTAACTTAGCAAGTTCATCTTTGGATGGGAAAAATTGATGGAGGAATGATATTCGAAGAAACCCAACACCTGTTCATGAATAATTTGGTGTCTCCTTTTTCTTTATTGTGATTCAGTGTTACTCTTCCCCCCCCCCTACTGCACTCAGGTATCATAACTTTGCCAAAACAATTCTGCTATGCTCTAAGGAAGGGCTGATGTTAATGCTATTGGTTTCTGTCCTGTGTTTGATACTTGTATTACTAGCAACAGGACGAGGAAAATTTTCAAATTAGGAATTGGTAATAGTTCCTCTGAAGTTAACCAAGGCGAATCACATTTCTATGGAGAAAATAGCAATTGTTCAGTCGACAAGAGAAACTGGAGTTTGCTAACGAGGCAAGTCGCCCGTGACAAGTTATTTAGTTATCGGAGTTTTTCAGTAACTAAAGACAAATTTGGTTAATATTTTAGAGTCTATGTGGAAAGCTTGATGTATAGAACAAGAAAAGCCCAAGAACGTGAGACATTATGTCTTTCAGATCCACACCCGCATTTTCTTGGGCATTTCAAACAATCTGCACACCATTTTCTTTACAATGAGTTTAATCCTTATCATATACAATCTTCTCCATGTTAGAACCAGTTAAGATTATTATTATATACTAGAAAGAGGAGAGAACAAATGTGTTTAATTTGGAGATTTTGTTTGTCTATATTTCTGTTTTTATTATTATCAAGCAATCGGTCAAAAAACAAACAAGTGGGAGAGTATGATCTTGAAATATAAAATAAATATTAGACAAAGTTATATATGTATTTTTTTGGCCGTTGAATTGTTGTTAAATTGGCTTTTCGCTTGTGGAGAGTTGCAAAGAATATTAGTTTTAGAACTTTCATTTTATCTGATGCATAGGAGAAGGGAGGAAGGAATTCTCAGTACCAAATCCATTGAAGTTTTTTTAAAAGCTATGAATTTGTAAATCTTTGTTTTCAACCTTAACCATGCTTGATAAAAGCCCTTTAGAATCACCTACAATATAATTTGATTGCTGGGTATGACCAGAGCTTGTGAGTTGTTTATGTTCAAACTGGAATTGGTTTATGGCATTGAACTGCAGTATTTTTGGCTGTACATAAATCCTGTTAGTAGGGTCAACTATGCATTTCAATCGAAAACATTCTGCTCAATTTTGTGACTGGTTAATAGCATTCCTATCTCACATATTTGAAATTAATGGTATTCATATTACATTCTGCTCTATATATTATACCATCTGAACATTTTTCCTGTTGTTGACAAGAAAAGAAAAATTAGGGGGATAGAGTTTTTTTCTTGCACAAACTTATTTGACCTCAAGTTGGGATCAATGTTCATAATCTATTAAACCATTGTCTTCTTGCACACATTATCTCCACTACCTAATTTAATTATTGCTTTTTTTTTTAAAGAAAATCCATACGTGCAGCAAAAAAGGGCCAAATTTGATCTGTTGGTGTTAGAAGAATCGCATAGGCAAGGTTCATCTATCACAGAGGAATGTGCAAATCATGAACCTTTACAGGATATCACTAATATAAGGTAATAATTCAACTGTGTTGGTGTTTCGTTGCCTGTTCTTTGTCATACCGTTTTTATTGGCATCTTCCATGTGATATTTGGTCTTTCATTTATTTATCTTTAACTAATTACATTTTTTGCACAATGCAAAGAGGGATTAACTTGGGTATTGGGAATTGCTACCGCTATTGGAATTACCTAGAGCATAATAAGTGTAATAAAAACATTGGTGAAAATAATGGGGTCCAAGGCAATTATAGTTTTATCATTGTCATTTTGTAATTTGTGAGTATAGGGGCCACAATAATTATTGAAACTTCATTTTCCATTGGTGATTCGGCCTGGATTGTTACTCAATTTACTCCCTTTCTTCTACCTATTGAAGTAGAACTTGGCAGATGTGATAACTCTGTTAGAGGAGTGAATGAACATGCATTTTGTTGTTGTTGTTGTTGTTTGGTTAAAATTTAATCTTGAATAACAAGATAGTGCTGAGATATAATTTTGTGCTATCTGTGGCTACTATGGAGGGAGTGATGCCCTTCCACTTTTGAATAAATTAAGGGGATAATTGCTAGGATGACTATTGAAAATAAGGCAAAGGATATCTTGCTCAAATGCTTCTGTTGTCACTTGTATAAGTTTTCCTTGTGTATGTTGAGTTCTAATATATTCTCAAATTTAGCTTTCCCTCTGTTGAAGCTTACTGTTGTAGCTGTCTAAACTCTTTGTTTTGCTACAGTTTGTAATACTAAAAAGAATACATCAACATGTAAAAGCTGATGAAGAACAGAGGGAGAGGGCCTACCTGGTTTAATAGTTCAGCCACTGCCCACCAGCCCACTGTCTACAGCTAAAGGACAAAAAATTAGCAGCAAGACGGAGATTCTGAGTTGTATGCCTAATTTTCGATGCAGCCTATCGGCCCTTATATAGGATGCAAAATTGCAATTTACCCATATTCTTAGATCATTATCATGTTTTAAAAAATTATTGATGCATAGCATGCAAAACTTTAGAGATTGCGAATTGCGATGATATACCAAGTGCAATTAATATAGTAATATTTGCCAAGTGTTCATGTTGTATCACATGCAGGCTTTATGTTTTTGCATAACCTTTTTGTGTAATTGATATTACTATATTAATTGCGATGATATACCAAGTGCAATTAATATAGTAACATTTGCCAAGTGTTCATGTTGTATCACATATAGGCTTTATGTTTTGCATAACCTTTTCTGTGTATGCTTTCAGCAAGTCTGAATTTGTCATATATAAACTTAAGGAGATAGTGAAGATAGCTGGAATGACATTCAACAAATAAGCAAACTATTTGACCCATTGGACAGTAGTCAATGTGGTAAGATTACTCTTGCTGACCTGATGGAAACTACCTAATACAGAAGTCAAGTCCATAAAGAGAAATATTTTCCCAATCTTGCTTGCCTTCGCAACGGCTACTTGATTTGGTCTTTATTTTTTAGATAAGATGGTCCAGCATTGCCACCATTTATTGTCCACAGGCTTGATCAAGCAAAGGACTTGCAGAGTTCAGAATTAAGTACCAGGAGACACTGCATGGTCCCTAAATGATATGGGGTCCACTAGACATTTCAGGTCAATGTAAAGGAAATCTAGGACATGGTTGATTCCATCACATTTAGCAACAAGTCTAGAGTAATTAGTTTGGAAAATTTTAAATGGCAAATCCACTTTCAATAATAATTCAAGCACAAGTAACTCATAAATTTAGGAGTTCAGCATACATTACCGCTACTTCTTATTTTTTTGCCAAGATACATTACTACTACGTTGGAATTAGATATTCAACTAGGGAATTACAAAATCACTAGAGCTAGCACATTATTATTTCATCACAAGATGTTCAAGAAATATGTTAACTATTTGTTAGCTATACTCATGAGCATGTATCGCTGGAATCAACGGTGTACAAAAATTGATAATTAAATTTTTATTGATATTCTCATAATCTCCCATTATAATTAGTAGGAAGAGCCACATCAACATATGAAATGAACATTTGCATATTGTTACTCAAGTGAGCTAGAAGAAGATATATTGCTAGCTAGACCACATAGTAAAAACAAAAAAAAAAAAAACAAAAAGAAAAGAATAACGCATCAATGCTTTCAAATACGTAGTACGTAAAAACAGCGACACTTCACGGTATAACTTGCAAGCTAAGAAGGTGACTTCGAAAACATACATGAACCAATTTGATTTGATGACGCACGGGGCGAAACACTAGTTTAATTTAATAGATATAAGAAACTTATAATAGTAAATTGGTGTTCCTTGCATTATAAAACTAACAATACACCCATAATTTGCACATGTATAATTAATATAGCATGATATTTATAGATATTTTTTGACTTTAACACACACACACATATATATATATATATAAAATAAAAATATTTAATATTAGACATTGGATTTAAATCCTCTAAATTGGAAAATCCTATGTAATGCTTTAAATTAATGACAATTAGCGCAATTATATTTTCTCCACTTTTTCTTTAAAATTATTTCATTTGATTTTATTCAACTAGATTTTATACCTGGTGTCACAAGAGAATCTTAACACATTATTTAGTTTTAAAAAAAATCATAATAGAATGAGAAAAAAAGAGAGAAGATTTTATTGAGCTTATTTTTTTTGTAGGTGATGTTATAAAAATTTAATAAATAGAAAATATAAAGAGGAAGACTAAGAATAATAAATTAAAAACAATTTAAGGCCATTTATTTCAGTTTATTTTATGAAAAAAATATCACTTATTTTTTTAAAAAATATATTTTATAATTTTTTATGATATTTGTTTAAATTTTTAAAATAATCAAAATCCAAAAAAATATATTTATAATTATTTTGAAAAGCTACTTTAATGTTAGTTTAAAGATAATAATTAAATTATTAGAGATATAATTCAATTAAAAATATTTTTTAGACAAGAGTAATATAATTTATTTCAGTTAAGAACATGTCTAAATTTATCTCTTTTACCATAACCTCACATTAACTATTTATTTTTATTATGGGTTTCACATTTATGTTTTTAATCATAGCCCCACATTCTTTCATCTTTTTTTAATCATATAAAAATAAAAATCTAACAAAAAAGTTAACCATGAAAAAAAAATTGATGGAAGTTTACTATTCAAATCACTGTTAATGAACAGCCAATTCAATATAAATTTGTATTCTTTGAATTTTAAATTGATAACGTTTAATCAACAATCATTGTAGAATATAAAATTCTCATAATAAATTTGGTTCTCTCCCATATTTATTGTGTTGATATGTTTCTAAAACAGCATAGATCTTGTAAGAGAAAGTTATTCATTTCATCTTCAACTTCTAATTCAATTATAATTATAACTCATTCTTTCAAATTCCATTTGTTGTGACTTATGTCACTAATGGTGCTTACACGATATCTTTATCAACATCACGAAAGATACACATGGCAATACATTAAAAAAGATAAAATCACGAAAAACAAAAAAGAAATCTAAAATTTAAAAAGTGGTAAAGACGAGTTTGGAGTAGACCGATTCGAATACTTCCCTCATCGTGCCTAGCTTCCTTCCTTCATCGCCTACAAAATTGTCAAGATTATTTTTAGAGCCGGGAATAAGGGCCGGGCCTGGAGGGCCGGGCCTGAAAGCCTTGTTTAAATAAGGGTTCGGGCTTTGAAAATATTTTTTTTTAAAGTAATTGGGCTTGAGGGCTTGACCCTGATAAGCCCTGTAAAATAGGGCTTGGGCCCGGGCTGCCCTTCAAGTCCTGTTATATTATTTTTATTATTATTTTTTTTAGTAAAACACGTGTTTGAAATCAATGACCTGCTCACCTGATCCTACACACATTATATTATTATTAATTTTAATTTATTCTAAAATTAATTTAATCTAATTTAATAAATATCAGTGTATAGTATAAAATTTATGATATTTTTTATTTTTTATAATTATTATGTTTGTATATTTATAAAAAAAATGAACTATTTTTTAAATGAAGATTTAAATTTTATTACTAGACTTCTAATGTATGTTATTTAATTTTTAAAAAATTATGATGATTTTAATTTTTTTAATTTTAAAATATTTTAATTTATTTATAATGTTTAATTTTATTTTAATTTTTTTATTTTTTAAGAAAGGGCTTACGGGCCTAGCCCTGAGCCCTGAGTATAAGGGCCGGGCTTGAAAAATGAGGGTCAAAATGAGAAACCAGGCTTTAGGGCTCAGGCCCTAAAGGGTCGAGCCCATAAGGGCCTGGCCCGCCTGTATTCCCAGCTCTAATTATTTTCATTTTCTGTGCCTACCATTTTTTTTACACTTCTTCGATATTATCCTTATGTGTAAAATCTTCTAAACTTAGTTCCCTCATTAAAAATGTAATTGGCATCATGAACCCATATTGAAACCATCAGTCTTTCATGATGTATTTGAAAGAATATCTCTTTTCTATGTCAACCATTGGTAATTTGAAGACCAAATTATTTTGCTTATGGTGAAATCCAATCTAGGAACGTGCATTGAGCTATAAATGTTTTCTTATAAATTCTCATCACAATCTTACATGTAAGATACCCAACAAAAGAAAGTAGAGTATAGAGAGTTACTCCTACAATCTAGTTCTATTTGAAGGAAGGATCTAAAGAATTTGGAGATCAAATTATTTACTTTCCAGTCCTGACTTTGATTTTACTTTCTCTTCATCCCACACTCAAACTTGTCTCGGCCCTTGTTTTAAATTTTAAATTTATTTTTTGTTTTTCATGATTTTATTTTTTAAATGTATTATTGCCATGTAAATCTTACAGGGTGCTAATGAGCACATCATGTAAGCACCTTTTGTGACACATATAAATGAGGTCCAATTTGATCTACTAGTGATAAGGATGAAATTTTCAAACAAACCAAGTTAAATTTGAAAGATTGAGTCATAATCAAGCTAAAAATTAAAGATCAAATGAATAATGTTCTCATAATATAAAAACATATAAATATTTACACAATTTTACATAGATTTTCATATTTATCTTAAATCATTATCATAATTTATATTTATATTAAATTATTAAATTATATGTTCAGAGAATGCTAACTAGAAAATGTTCATTTTATAAAGGTAAAAAAATGTCCATTTTATTTTGGGAAAATGTATATGCTAGTCCCTATAGTTTTTCTCAATTGTAAATTAAGTCCTTATAGTTTATTTTGTTTTTGAGCCCTTATAGTTTGATCAATTAATTTTTTAGGGTAAATGATAATTTAAATTCTAAACTATAGGCCGAAGGATAATTTAAACTCTAAACTCATATGCGGTACAGTTTGAATCATAAATAATTAAATTTGAAGTAATTTCACCCCTGTCATTAAATTGGACTAAGTGTCTATTACGTGGGCCACATATATTCTAACATCTCCCTCCTCTGTCAACATCTCTCTTCTTTAGCTAATGATAGTCGAGTCCTCTCCCTCCCTCTTCTCTCTGCATCTCTCTTCTCCAATTGATGACAGACACATTGCAGTCAAGCCCTCTCCCTCCCCCTTCTCCCAGCATCTCTCTTCTACAAATAATAATGGATGCATTATAATCGAGGGATGAAGTCAACCTCGACTAATTATTCTCGAAAGTGGCTAGAGTCTGTCAAGGAGGAACTCAAGGTATGCCTGATCTAGTACTTTCTTCCTCCTTTTAGGCATTGATGCCATTCTCTCATATCACATCAAACTATTAGAAAAGCATCCGTCAACAACCCTAGCTCCATCTCCCTTCAACAAACAAGTCTTCAACCTTACTAGTAATGCAATTAATACCATGGCGTCGCAACATAGGGTTTAACTAGTGGCTCTATGTTAAGACAAAATAGTGAAGATGAGATAATTTTTGACAAAACTCACTCCTAGATCTTAAGTATAATAGACCCACAATGCATGCAACAACTCCTTGAAGTGTATGTTCATACGCTTTTAATCTCTCTCTCTTTGATTTGTCTCAAACTTTCACTGGCCGTTTGGTTCTGTATTCCAAGTAGTGCTCGAAGATGTGTCAGATTCTAAAGGCAAGCCTCCTATCCCATAATCTCCAATTTTGCACCTCCATCGCACCTCCTGGCTCCAAATGGGGTTCGTGGTCATCCCTAAGGCATGCTTCAATTGCATGCTACATCACTAGCATTCATGAACAATAGCAGGAGAAGAGAGATGCTGACAGAGGGGAGGTAGAGGAGGGAGATGTCATAATATATGGGCCCCACACAACAGACGTTTAGTTTAATTTAAAGATGGGGGAGATTGTCTTAAGTTTAATTGTTTAGGGTTCAAATGGTATCAAATACAAGTTTAAGATTCAAATCGCTCCTGAGCCTATAGTGTAGGGCCTAAATTACCATTTAACTTGAATTTTTTTAATCCCTAAAGATTAAGATCCTTATATTTTCATTCAAAAAAATAAAATTAAAAATTTTATATTTTTATTAAATAATTATATAACTTTATAATTAGTTATATAATTTTTATAACTCGAAATTTATATAATAAAGTTGTCTTCTAAGTAGTTTTTATACATAAAGAGTTTTCAAAAAAAATTTAAAAAATGTAAATAATGTATCAAATCAAATTTTATTTTTTTAATTTTGG